TTTCAACTTCCTCGAAACTCGCACTGAACGAAATAAAATTCCATCACGCGCGAATTCAAGACTAAAGAAAAAAGCAAGAACATTATTGCAACCATTGATTCCGGACAACACGATTCTTGCCAAAATGTTATCGGAGGTGGAAAGAAAAAAGAACTGGAAGAAAAAACGTAAAAAGATAAAGAATGGAACGAATCGTCCACTGGCGGAATATCGAGTTAATATTCAGCCGAGTTTATCCATAAACATCGTTTAACTGCGCGTAACTTCACGAGTCACCCCGCTAGGGTCTTGGGCTCGGAAACCCGCAATTTCTACTGGACAAGCACATTTCAGATGGGAATATTCGAGTTCGCAACACGTCGTACCGAAATATCGTCTCTTGGTATCTTTGATCATAATGAAACTTTACGAGGTTCATGGACCTGAAACAAGGATCGTGGTCTCTTTTACGCGGAGCATATTTAAGGGGTACTGATCAACGACGAGTGCAACTATGATTCTACAACGAAGACAATGTCACTGTGTCCGGAAAAGAATTCTTGTTACTTCCCTAACTGGTAATTTCTTCGTTTCTTGATGACAAAAAGTCGCTTTAAAAGCGATATGCCGGTATTATCGATTGGACCATCGAATTACAAAAAATATGGCACTTGGCGCGTACAATATGTATAATAATTTAATTACTATTTTGGATCAAAAGCCTCGTATAACCCCCTCTAATTTTACATCATCAACACCGCACCCGATCCACCATTATAATTTCTTGTCGCTTTCATTTCACCACTCAATCCCAAAAAAGTCGAACTAATGAGAAACCAAAATCACATTTCTGATTATACCAGTTTAATACACTGTTATTGAAAGTAAGACACCACCATCGCTCACGCAGCGTGATTAGTTATAAACACTTTGATACGTAACATTTAGCGAGCTGAGAATTATGGTGTAAATCAAAATGCATCGATATCGGTAAAGTATTAGGATGGATTCTGAATGAATAACCAATAAAAAATAATCATAAAAATCGTATGTGAAATCGTATTATCTCGCAAGTATTTGTCATTGTTTCATTTAAAACCAATCAGACGTAACAAACCTTATAGACACGTTCGAAGTGCTCTCAGCTCTCCTCGTTTTCTCGGTTCCCGCTGTAATTACGATGGCATCGTTTTCGAAGGAAATAAAAGAAAAAGATGGTTGTCTTCCTGGCCATCTGGCGCATGGAAACCTCGGTATTAGGCATCTTAGGTTCTCTCGTGGCAATGATCGCAGTGCAGTCGCTTGTGTCGTGAAGCAAATTATCCAAGTATACGGTATTTGAAATGAAAGTGGCTCGCTCATCTGTTTCACACTCGCTCTTCTCCATCTTCGATCCGTTTGGTGTTTACTTTTTAACTAGCTTTCGAGAACCGACGTCCCTTTCTTTCATCAGTCAGCCTGTCCGCCTTGGGTGGTTCATGGACCAAGCTACAATTCAGAGAATACTGTAAACAACTTCGTGTTGATTAATTCCTTCGTTGTGGACGAGGGTCGGTAGAGAGAAAGTTATTTGGGAAATTCTTTCCGCTGAGACAAAGGTGAAGAAGACACTTAAGAGTGTAGAAACGAAAATGAAGAGGATCGCGAAGATGCACGACTATTAAAAAGAAGAGGAAATGGAGTTATAAAAAAACTTACTTAGAAAAGTATTTTGACAGTACGTTAAGAACGATTAAAACAAACATTTGTTTTATATCAGATCATAATAATTTTCTATGCGTTTACTTTTCGCAAGATACAAACTTTTACAAAAAGGAATTAATTAAAGCGTGACTAAACAAAATATACAGCCGTTAAAGATACATATATATATATAATACATCTATTACACACGAAGAACTTTTTTTTGACACAAATTAATTATCACCACTTTTTTTTCTTAATTTACACCTACACACGATCCGTGCAGGCTTTCATTAAATGTAATAGTTTCTATGAATATCCGGCTGCGATTCCGCCAAATTAGAATACACAGACATGTATGTATTTAGGTTCGCCGTTTTTTTTTTGCAAACGCGACACATTTAAAATTACTACGCTTTCAGCGATGTCTGAATCCTTGTGGTTGATATATCTCGATATACTGTCATTATCAGTGTTACATTTTTTATATAAATTCTACCTTACTAATCTCCATTTCAAATCAAAACTACGTATTTATTACAATTTCTATTCAATTGAAATATCTTACGTTTGACCGATCATTAGCTACTAATTAACTTATTGAAACATACCCCGAGGCAGTTGAAAAAATTAAACTCAGAGATCGCCCTTTAAAATCATGAGTGATATTAGATACAAATGTAATTATCGCGAGTTCCAAAGGACGTGGAAAAAAGGCGACCCAAAACGAAGAGGGAAAGAGACAAGAAAAAGTTATAATTACCAGGCTCACATTCGCGATTAATCATACGAATAACAGGTTCGAGAATAAAAATCACATTAACCTACCTGTCGGCCGATAAGTTTGCGCAAGAAGATTAACGAGCCTCGTCGTCGGTGTTCAGCGAAAGTGCACAAGCATTTCAATTTGTCGCGATGTTTCGGATCAACGTGTGCTGTTACATTAGCAAACTTTTACGCGTGCATCGCGTCAAGAGCACGCAAAGCACGATAGAAGTGCAAACGAAGAAAAGGTCGCACATCGATTTGTTTGCGTGTGATTCGTTGTCATTGCATGTACAACGAAACAACGTATTTCGACGATCGCGGACGTACGATTAACTTTCTCGTTTATTTCATTTACGTTTACGTTTAATAAAATACCTTTTATATTTCATCGCTAGAAAACACTGCTATATGAATTGGAAAAACTCTTATCCAAAAAATAATTTCTAGAAAAAATCGTACTTTTTGCATCGATCTAACAATTGTTCACAGCCTGCTTACGCAGCTGCTGTCTTATCGATTCTTTCAAGAAGATTTCGCAATGTTTTTGATACTATGTCGACGTTGAACGCGATTTCGCACTGCGCTATGCGATACAGAAATAAATGCACCAGGGTTTACAAGCGTTATTCGCGTTTACTGAATGAACCGTGACAGAATCGTAGGATTTGGTTGGTTCGAGTAATCAAGCGACTACTTACTTTGAACGCAGGAGACGTTCATACAGGTCCTGGAGTGAAGCGTGTTTTGTTACGACTCGCATGATGAAGTGATTGATGAAGTGACGTGAACTTGCGTTAGATTGTAAATGTTGCCACGGTTCATAAGATCTAACAATATGTATTAGCAATTATTTTCTACGAAAAGCAATTTTTGTAACGTATAATTATCATAGTTCATTGAACAATCAATAAACTAATAGGCCGTCCGAAAAGTTTCTTTCGTTCTGTACAGAAGCGTTGTAAAAGACATATCTGTAAAAGAAAGACACTTTTCGGACAACCTAATACATTTACTTGAAAATTGTAATTGATAAAGAAAAATATCCATGGAAGGCAACGTAACCTAGGAAAATAAACGACGAGAACGTACCCCTTAAATTTTAATATACGATACTAACATAGAAAATAATTTAAACGTTTCTTTGAAATGCCGGGCGTACTTTTAGCCCTGATAGTTTTATATAAAACTCTTTCAGAACCACGTGACTATGACGACACTGTGACGAATTAGATAAACAAGTATCCTTAGGTATTGCTAGTAAATTATGCGCTTCAAACTGCAACAATATAGCGTTCCTTCTCTCATTGTTCTTACACAACGAGAACATTGAGTATGAAAAGAGGAACAGCATGTTACAAAAACACCCTGCTCGAGGGATATAATCATCTTGCATGTAATAGTCCTCGGTGCGATTAGGACACGAATAATTTAATGGTTAGCTCGCGAGTATATTTTATGAAATCTTATGAAATAACGCGGTTTCGCTAAACAACAATGGGAGATGTACGTATAAAAGGCGTTGACACTTTTGTATTCCTGCTATACGCGAGTTGATTATGCGGGCATTAAAATGGGTACGTAGTTTCTTGAAAACAACTCAATAAGTATCACTCTGTGTTTAAATATTCACTAATTGTCCACATACGCAGTTGAGGATAGTGCTGTCGATCAACTGCGCCGCCGGAGAGGGTCTACGGACGGCTCGGCAAGCCGGATATACTTACAACATTCCCACGGTACCATTTACCTTGCCTGCACCTAATTACGGCCCACCGGCACCACCTCCTTCACCGCCAAGTTATCCCTATTCCACCCCATTGCCACCATCTTCTAGACCGAATTATTCTTATCCCGCGCCAGCCCCTGCACAGCCGCGTTACTCATATCCTCCACCACCAGCACATCTTACTTCTCTTTCCATTTAATGTAAGGATACGATCACCTTACCATATAACGTTCTCTAAATTAAACATTCTCTAAATTAGGCTAATTAAAGATTAGTACGTAAGTAGCGGGTAATTATTACATTTAAGAAAAAAAGAAACATTTCTTCCCATTAAGGACGGTTAAAGCTTCGAAAATGAGCAACGATCGAATATACAGAATGAGTCTAATATAATCAACAGATGCGTATATTATATCACTTGAAAAATCTTCAAATTTCTGTATCTCTCTTTTCCATCTTTAAATTCTAATCATGATTACATAACATCGTTATAATAACACCGCATTTATCTAAATCTGTACACGGAAATTTTCGCATTGTTTATGTCCAACAATAAATAATTAAGCTGCGAAAAAACACCTCGATACGTCTTAACTTTCGACGAATGCTTAATATATGTATATATGTCATCATCATCATCGACATCATCATCATGATCATCTAGATCATCTAGATCATCATGGGCATCAACACCGTCATCATCGTCATAATTATCATCATCACCACCACCACCACCACCACCACCACCACCACCACCGCCTCCACCACCACCACCGCCTCCAACACCTACTTACTTACCGCCGTCGCCACCGTCACGGCCACCACCGCCGTCACCACCTCCGCCTCCTCTGCCTCCACCAGTGTCGCCAACCTACTTGCCTGTTTCAACATCACCTCCGTCAATACGAGTTTCTACACCAGCGCCAACTTATCTACCACCATATGGTCAGGAAATCCAACAACTTTCTCAAGCACCCGTCACTTACGCATCAAGCACCGCATCTGCAATGTCGTCCAATGCGGTTAAAATAATTGGACCAGTCGGACCAACGGTGAATAATTACGGAGCATCTAACGCAGCATCGTTTGCAAGTTCTTCGGCTTCTAGTCCGACATATGACTACTCGACAGCGCGTCCCACGACTATTGGATACAATTATCCTACGCCAGCTCCTCCCGCCAGCTATCCTGCCCCAGCTCCTCCACCTAGCTATCCTGCTCCTGCTCCTCCGCCCAGTTATCCTACGCCAGCTCCTCCATCTAGCTATCCTGCTCCTGCTTCTCCACCCAGTTATCCTGCCCCAGCTCCTCTACCGAGTTATCCTGCACCAGCTTCTACTCCGACTTCAAAGTATAACTATTCTCCCATCTCTAGACCCAGTTATTCTGCATCCGCTCCTCCACGTAGTTATCACGTAATACCACGCCCTGGCCCACGTTATCTACCTCCAATCTCTTAGACTAGTTATCCTACACCAAAATCTCGACTTAGCTATCCTGGTTCAACTAATTTGGTTGAGATCCTCGACCTAGTTACCTTTTTCCATCAGAATGATTATACCGTTACTTTGCTGTTATTTAGTAAAAATAATTGCAGATTCTTCCTCTTTCTATTTATCCTAAGGTCGCTTCCAGTTAGAATTATTCTTTATATACCAGCGTATTTGTAATGCAATTATAGATGATATAAAATATAAAATATGCATTATTATTGTTGAGATCAGAACAGAATTTACTATATAAGGTTTTTACGTTTGTAACTGTAAAAGCGTTTATTCTTTTTGTGCTCGTAATATGTAGGTGGTTTGTGCAAAAATTTAATCGCAAGTAATGTTATGCGTATCTATGTAGTCTTTCTTACAATATATGCGAACTTTATAAATTCCTTAGAATTTTCGTCATTGTAAGATAGAACTTTTGTATCCAATTAATACAAAGATCAAGACAATTGTACGGCACTTCTACATTAATTATTCATTTTACGTCCTTAATAAAGAAATCACTTAAAGCTAGATGTTAGTCAAAAGATTGTAGAACGGAGAAAGCGAATTAACTGTGTACATTCATTTATCAACAAAACCAGATTTATTTTAAATACAGTTTGTACGATAGCAGCTAATACGACTACAATGAATATCACAGCATTTTTCTCAGGTAGACATTCTAGATGTCAGTCAGTAGCTTAACATTATTAACCAACTAAATACTACGCTTACGACATAATTGAGTAGTAAGTAAATGATGAGTACTCATCCCAGTAAATAAATCTCCACTCGAACTTGCGTATAGCTCGTATTAAACAAACATGTGTTTTTTAAACAAAACATAGGTGAAATCCGCGCTACACTGACAAATAAATTGAACAGCCATGATCCGAAGTGTTAGCGTACTATATCTAACAGGATATGACTATGTATAGTGATCTGTTACAGTTATGGTTATAATCATCATTGATCTTCATGATTGTGATATCATAAACGAAGGCGCATTTAAATGGATCAATTTTTTTTTATAAAAGTCGAGTATAATTCCGAACTATAATTTTGACACGAACCGATAACAAAGATCAACGCGTACGTTTCTTACTCTTCACTTTACTACTTAACTTACTATATATTGCAACGAATTTGATTGTTTAAATAATTTATGTAGACTTATCATAGTAGAAACAACGTTTATAAATCAATTGTTTGTCAAATAAAAAAAATTAATGGATCTCGTTAGACTAAAACAAAAGTTAGTAATAGTCAACCAATATCACAATAATCATCTTAAGAAAACGAGTTCATTTGCATAAGAATAACGAATACATGAGAAGAGAATTGCCATGTTGATTACAAATCGATCACTGGTATGTAAATTTTCGTAAAAGAAAATACATCGATTGTTTATATCAAACTCGTCGAAAATGAAATGTGACAGTTACTAATCTATATTACAATGGCGAGGAATCGTAAGAACGTGCTTTATCGTACATGAAATATATACATCGTCTTTTTACTTGCAAAAACGAGAAAAGATAGTAATACTTCAATCTTCGATGGATTTCATTTAAAAAAATGAGATATAATGTGATTTTGATGATTGTCCGTGATCGATTTTTCGAATTCCTTATTCGTCTCCAGTTTCCGTTAGTCTATCCAGGCAATCGTACGACTTCGACTGAATGATGTATCTGTAATATAAGTAGCTTTTGGTTAATATGTCGAAATATAAAATAAAGATTTAGAGAAGTTAATTTTAAATTCGGTACTAAATTTAAAGGTGAATTATATTTGTTATTAGTTAAAAATGCCAAAAGACAAAGATCTGTTACGTAAGTAGAAAGCAGTAGCGGTAGATAGTTGATTAAAGAAGCAAAGCACCGAAACTAACTCAGAGTTATATACACCCAAATTCTCTCTATCGTTTCAAACCCAACCGTTTATGCGTGGGGTCTCTACGACCCACGTGAAGAATCATTTTCCCAGCTTTGGCAGCCTTGAAGCTTTGCAACGCTTTCGCATGCGTCAATCCGTCCATCGATATTCCATTGATCGCTAAAATCTCGTCTCCGATTCTCAGAGTTCCTTCTTCGGCCGCCTGGCCACCAGCCATGATATCCTTCACGAAGATACCCATGGATCCTTTGTTACTATCAGATCCACCTACTATAGAAAAGCCTAATTTCTTCGGAGCACCCTTTTCCAAGGTGATGGTCAACAAATTCATGGACAAACTAGTCGCCCTACGGGAACAGGAAACCGGAATGACAGCTCGCTTTCGCACTACCTGAAATTTTCTCATGCCAGTCATCTTTTCGCTAGGTTCTTTTCTCACAATTGCTTCACTTTCGCTTTTCGTTCGTTCCATAGAACTCGCGGATAAGTTCGTACCATCCTTCGTCAGAGCACCGGTTATTTTACACTGAGAAGGGGTTTCTTGTCGTACATTTATGGAATCGGAAACATCAACTTTCATTTTTTCATTCATTTTTTCTTGTTTCAGAATCCACACCTCGGAGTCGCTTCGAGTGCGTACAAGAATGTCGCCCCACGTGTCACCTAGCTCTTCACCGAAAGCGAAAGCCGGTTCTCTGGCTATCTGCAATTCCACGGTTCCCGAACATGTTTTTAACGCGCTTCTAGCTTCGAGGATCGACATCCCACGCAGCCTACGTCCACAAACCCGAACGATCTCGTCACCGATTCGAAATTGCTTCGATTTAGCTGCCACTCCATTTACGTCCATCTTTGAAATCACATAGAAAGGTCTAACAGCTTCTTTTCTTTCTACGGAAATGCCAAGGTTCCCAGATTTCTCCACGAACAATTTCATAGTCTTTAGCTCTCGACGGACCAAGGTCTTCGCTGGTGTTGGTGGAATTGACGTTGCATGATCGACTTTAGTTATTTGTTCGGATTTTTTTATTTTGTTTCTACAATGGACAACCTCGGGATCATCCGGTCCCATGTTTGACCGCGATCTCTTTGGACTATAGTACTGCAGGGGGCTATTGACAAGTGTCGCGCAAATTTTCGTCGCTGGTGGACTATCCTTGCACGGAGATGCCGCGTTATCCAACAAACTTAAGACGCTGGAGTCGATGTGCTTCCGAGACTTTAACGGTATCTGGGACTTTTGTAAATTGTGCACCCTCACCGCTTGCGACAATTGCAGTGTTTGTACCGGGTTTGCGAACAACTTTCTCTCCGGTATCTTAGACAGTTCGTTGCTCATAGGTATGGTCGAGGATGTTCTTTTATCTTTGAAATCTCCACTCAAAGATACTTTCGACGTTCCACCGTCGCATCTTTCTGACGTAGATGCCACGGTGCTAGATTTTGTTTGTCCGACTGTACAGTTCACAGAATATTCCGTAAATCCTATGAAAGTATCCTCATCGCAACTGTCCGTGCTGTCTCCATCTGAAGCTACTGTGGTTATGTTCGTCGTTACCGATTTGTTTAATAAACTTTTGTTCATGATGACGGTATCCTCAAGGCAAGAAGGACTGGATTCGTTTTCTTCCGTTCCCGTTGTCACTTCTTGTTTTATCGGTGTGCTGACTGGTAACGATAGATCGATGCCATGGTAATCGTCCGATGTTATGGAGAAACTACGGGGTTTTAACATCGGTGGAACGGAGTTCTCACTGTCTGGAGAATCGGCGCCAGCTCGCGTGCTGTCGGAATCGTAACCACTTTCGTCACATCCTAATCGCAAATTGCTCATCAGCTCCTCCAGGCCAGTCGCTGAGTAAGATTTGTGATTGTCGGCTCTGAAACTGAAAGAAGAAACTTAAAAGAAGTGGTCTCGAGAAATGTAAGACTGCACAGCTAAGCGTACTAAGTACCAAAGTAAAAGTAGCTTCTTAGTATGCTTAAATAGGTATGTTTAAATGTAATCCCCTCACCTGTCACAATCACTGCCACTTGCGCGAACGTTGAACAGATTCCTCTTAATATTGCTAAGATGGTTATTGAAAGGTCTCGCGGTTTGCGTGGAAACACTGCTCTTGCCATCATCCGTCGCAGTCTGACTCGTTCGTCGGTTAGGACTCGTGCTTCTGACTTTTTCCAACGTTTCTCTCGCGAAAGTCGTTCCCTCTTGAGTCTTAAGCATATCCTGGTTCTTCAAAATATAATCTAAAACTCGATGTTGCTCCTGGAGGTTCTGGATGCTGCGACTGAGCTGCTTCTTTTTCTCGCGAAGTATCGTTTCGCGATCTAATTGACTATCGTTCAAGCTCCCACGTAAGGAGACATTCTTTATGGCACCCTCGCTCAAAGCCTTTTCCATCGGATAATGACTGATGCAGGTAACATCCTCCTCTTGTATCGTCACATTTTTAGCTGACACGTCGCTGTTCAAGAAGCCGCTACCTCGCTCGCTGCTTTTGAACAAATTTCGTAACGACTCCACTCTGGAAATTCTCTTTGGCTTTGGTAATTCAAATGAACCACTGATACCCTGGAAATCACGATTTCCATCAAATCAGATATTTAGCATTAGATCGGAAAAAGATACGAATAAATACGTGACTCTGTATATAATTTTTATCCATAACATATTTTCTCCAGCTGCTTAAAAGATTTTAATGTAAAAGATACAACAATACAACTATGTGATAAAAATTTGCTTGTGTATAATACGATATATGGTTAAAAAGAAGATACTCAAAAGGTTCAGACATGGCCAGTCAAGTGGTAAGTAACAAGTAAGCAACTTAGTTTTTTTTTCTTTTTTTTTGTACGTAGAGAAATCCTCATGGACACTCCGCCGCTGCGGCAGCAGCAGAAGGTAAGCTACTAAACGTTTAAGGCACGTCCAGTAATGTAATAAAAGGGTTTAGTCGAGTAGATCCAAATTTTTAGATTTTCTGGTCAAGTAGGAGAAAAGAAGAGAATATAGGCGAAAATATGATTATAATGATTTTATTAATATAACTAGAGGAACATTATTAAAAACATATTGTTTAAACTTTTTAAACTCTAACAATTAAACAATACACAACTAATATCAAATAATTAATACTATAATGATGGAAAAATATTCTGTCATAATATCGCACATATATTTGCTTATTAATATTTGATAGAATTTAAATTTAATAATTTTACTTATTTTCTTCAACCTTTCCAAAAAAATTGTTCTACTTAGCTGATTTAAAAAAATATCCCAGATTGTTTGAAAAACAGTTTGTGCCTATAAACCAGTATAATTACCAAACTCCCTAGCATTAAAAAATGTAAATTTAGACTGCGACCAATTGCGGCTTACTTGACCAAAAAATCTAAACATTTGGATCGGCTTAACTGATCGTTTCACTAAGCTACTTGACTAAATTTCAGTGTTCAAAAACTGCAATATATTAAATTCCTTGCTACTTACCTACCGTAGTGGCAATGTCTGAATCAGCTTAGTTATTAAGTTATTTAGTTAAACGAACGAAGGTAGCATATTTACGTTTTCTTTCTCGTCTGTTACACCGCCTTTTCGATTCGGGCTCCATCGTCTCCGTCGGCCTGAAACCGAAAGCAATTCGGAGCTGTCCGATCTCTTTAACTGATCCCACCTTCGACCTACTTTTCTGCCCCATGTCGAAATTCCTGTGACGTAAACCAGATTCGATACGTTAATTCTCATTCTACGTCGTACCCTACGGTTTTACTACTGTATTTAATCGTTACCTTTTCGATTCGGAGCGCAAGATTCCGTCGACGATGGTTTCAAGAACGGTGATTCGCTATCGTCTTCCTTCATGGACATCCGACCTAATCCATCGTTTTCCTTGTGCAGTGTTTTACTACTTCCACCGAAATTTTCCTCTGCCACTGTCAAAGGCGCTGTTCCATCCTGAGATAATGGAGTAGCCGAAACTAGCTGTGGGCTGGTATCAGAACACTGTCGTTTGAACAGACGCATCGTGATAGCCTGAAAAAAGTGGTGATATCGAGATTACATAAGCGAATAGATACGACTGACTGCAACCGAATAAGTTTCCTCTTGTAAGATATTCATGACTTGCAATTGCTGCGCTTTTATCGATAAACGATATATCGTTATTAACAACCAAACGTAACTTTCATGTGCCTTTATAAATAATTAATATTATATATAAAAAGTACTAATTAATAAATATTAATATAAATACATTTGTATTAATACTCTAGAATTTAGAAGTTAAAAAGAAATATAGAAGAAGGAACGGAAGAAGACATTGTACCAACACTCGAATCACAATGAACAAAGAGACGCATAAAGTTTAGTAAAAGTTCGGATCATCGAACGATCATTTTCCCAGCATTCCAGGAACGTTTAGCAACGTTTCCTATAGGTATCGGTCTGCGAACGAAAAACAAGTCTCTCTCCTACTCACGCCAACTTTATCACTACCACGCTTCTACGCCTTAACGGCTACGGTCGAAAGTACGTTACCCGTTCCCAGCTTCGAGTTACATCCACCCATATCGAGCGTCTCAAAAACGAGCGATCGCTTTGCCCACGGCCCTCTCTCAAGTTCCAGCAACGATCGCGTTCATGCACCACTTCCTCCTCGATGTCTCTCTTACGAACAACGATTAATAATAACCGACGCCCTTCGTCATTTCATGCCGCGATCTCTCCTCGTATCTCGATCCGTTTTCTTCGATATTCCACCACGCGTCCAATGATCGCGACCGCGTTTCACTTTTTTACGATTAATTACCTCAACCGGCTCCGGTTAAACCTATATGATTGAGATAAATAACTTCCTCGCTTTTATCCGATCATCATACAGGCCAAAGAGTGAAAATATAAAATCAGTCAAAAACAAACATGTAAAAGCCGGCACGACGCGATTCTTTGTAGAAAAATAAAAAGGATATAAAATCAAACTTTTCATCCTCGGCTTAGTTTTCGAGGAAACCGAGTTTGAAGATTTACCAAGTATATTTGAACATGGTTAATTCTAAACTGGACGGGACTACTTACACCTCGACTAGTCGATTACTTAAATCGTCGAGTGATCATTCTACGTATGAAAGTAAGTCGAATGTAGAATGCAATTTTTTCACAAGATGCTTTGCTTCCGAGAAAAAATTAGAGAATTGAAAATTTATCATACACGTGTACTAGCCCGATTCTTAACTAAACATGTTCAAACTCTATTTTCTTGAAAATAAAATTTCGATTTCCTTGAAAATGAATTTTCCTAAACAGAAAAATGTTATTCTACATTTTCTTATTTTATTTATTTTCATTCGTAGAATAACCTCCTGTCGATTATTTACTGCCCATCCTGTCCAGAATTAGCCACGTTCAAGCATAGTTGATAAACTTTCAATTTCGGTTTTTTAGAAAACTCTGCCGAGAAAAGAAAAAGTTTGATTCTGTATTTTTTTTCCACAAGGAATCGCGTCGTGCTGGCTTTTACGTGTCATTCGATCGGAACTTGTATATCTGGATGCGAAATGGAGTATTCAACAAAATATCAGGCTCGATAGAAATATTCTATACGCAATTAATCAAGAACCCACGCTTAGTCCAAAGTGAAGGGTTAGTATTGAATATTAAGAATATTACCAATATACATTTAAACCACGTACCACGATATACTCAGAAGATACTTTACCATGATTATTTCTATTAATCATAACCGACGAGAATTAATACGACCACTGAAAACCGCGACGTTAATGTACATTAGTAACATTGAGATGAAAGAGCTTCTTGTAGTTTATGAGGCTGCTAGAGGTATTAAGCACAAGGTATTAAACATAAATTTTCACTGATTCAAAAAATCAACAAACAAATAATCGACAAAAATAAAACAGAAAAAAGCGTATTATTTATGTCACCGTACGAAGCAACGCAATTTACGAATTTATGGGTCATCAAAGCGATCGGTGAACTGTTTCGATTTGTTTTGCACATCGTCTAAAAATATCGCCCATATGAATTGCGTTCGATGTAAGTAGATTTCTCGGTGTTCATTGTTAAATACATTACCCTTCTAACGCTCCGAATCAAAATTATCCTTTACGATCAAATCTCAAGGAAAAATGTTCAAAACGCTGCTCAATTTCTTTCGCCAATTTATTCTGATTCGATAAGTATCACCCGTTATGTAGGCAGCACCGGCACAATGTTCTAGGATTGGAGAAGAGGGAACAGGGTGTGGAGACAGGGAAAAAAGCGCATGTAGCGTTGCCCACGTGTCCCGGCCGGCCGTATAAGTGTATATCACATAGAGCACATGTCGCGACGAAGTGGCACGCATTTTTCCTAGACGAAGCGCACACGCACGCGCCACGTTCGAGACGTTGCACGCATCCGGTCGCAATTACGACTGTTAACGAAGTCGTTCAACGATTCGCGTCAAATAGACTCGACCAATTATAGTTGCAAACCAAATCAGATCTGTACCTGTTCGAATATTACGCGTTACCTTTTCTTAAAGTGAGAATTTATCGTTTTCATATCAAGCACTGCTACATCAACTGCTAGTGAAAACGTAATGAAGTCTTTTTACGTTATCATTACCAGCTATTTACAGTCAGTCTGATTCAGTTCATGTCCCAACTGCTGATAATTCCAACGAGTACCGCGCATTTCTACTTGACGTTACGCCTAGTTAATTTATACCTCAGGGTGTTCTGTAACTTTCCATGCCTATGTTACAAAATTAAAAATTAACTCGAGCTTTCTCCGCGAGACGAGTGCTCGGAGCCACGATACGGACGAGATTAGCGCATTTTTTAATCGAACGATAAACAATATCAACAAGTATTAATAAAATTTCTCTCGACTTTCGCCAGACTATATTCGAGTTATATATCGCTTTTCAAACATATCATTACCTTACGGTCCAGACAGACGTTTCAGATTGCAAAGGTAATTACCATTTTTTGCCCGCGAGTTATAAATCTTCTTGCGCTTCCTCGAGTCGAATTAAGGCGTCTAATAGCCTTTTTTGAAACGAACATTATACTTATAATATAAAACATAGAATACCGAGGCCTTTGATTGCGGCAAATCTACCAGTCCATTCGATACGGGCGTTTCAACACGAATCTTGATTTTCACAAAAAATTCAGATAATGCTTGTAGTTATATGTACATAGCTCATATATTTAGCGCAACTTTTAATGATCACACTAAAAATGCCACGATATAAACGTAAACGCCTATATGAAACAACAATTCCTAGCAGTTTGAGTCCTCCCTAGGTGTAACACGTCAAAAGCATCACAAACGTCTTTCTAATCCACACCATCACAACTAGACAAATCAAGAGATATCACCTTCGTTTTAATCCGTCCCTTTGCCCAAATCCTACGAGCGACGTCAAAGCTGCTTCCACGTTTCTCCATCCTTCTCCCTTCTCTCCAGCCTTCTCTCGCGCTACAGCGTCCGAAACCAAAATACCGACCCATCCTCTGTGCAACTTTTCGCGGAGAATCACAACAGAGCGTATCGAACTAACGACGAACAACGCGATCGTTCTCATAAACCCGTTCGATCGTCGCGATTTCATGGAAACACAGCAACGCGTAACGCGACTGGCTAGAGCCACCGATTAAAACTCGTCGAGTTACAAAGAAAGAAAAACGGCACCCACGCGCCGTTTTAAGAAAAGCCAGCGAGGTAGAACGAAACCAGACACGATGCACCAGCTGATTGGTTTCCTCTTCGACTCGACTTTTCATTCATACGATCGTGCACCGAAAACTCGATTCCACACCCCCACCAGTCAGCCACGAGCCTCGCCCCCGCCTGTTTCTCCTTCGGAAATAGATTCATCATCAGGATGTCGTCCCGAACACCGGAAACGGCCGCTTCCTGTCGAGCCAGCTTCCCGTCGCGCGTTCGTCTCTCTTCCACGCTCTCGTTTTTTCCGCCTGTTCTAGCTTTTTCCCGCTCCCCACGGAACGTATATGTAAGCATCGGTCCGCTTTCAAGAACGAATATCTGTCGTTTATCAAACAGTGAGCGAAGTTTGCGGTTCGAATTTGCAGGTCGGGTTTACGGGCCGAGCCACAGCCACCAACTGGCTACTCACCTATTTCAAGGTAACATAACGGTGCGAGATCATAGGTGACGCGAGATGCATTACAGTTACAGCCGGGTGCATACCGGACTTTATTCCAGTCGACGTTTAAACGTGCTTTGGACATGCCTTCGAAGCAGCCGCGTGCGTACGTACACGCTGGCAGCCCGTGCGAAAAATCTGCCTGGAGTAGAACGCTATGACCGCGTGTCTGCACAGGCTAGCTATACGCTGTAAAATATGAAATACGACGTATGGCACGGTTGCACAAGTTCCATGTTCCAGCCCGAGTCTCCAGATAGTTATTAACTAACGAGACGTTGAGACGATCCGGTAAAATTAACGATTACGATTTAGTTCTCTACTTTATAGCGAATTACTCAAATATCGGTTTTAATCGAATTGCGTGTTTGAAACGAGAACGAGTAACATCGTAAGCATATCTTTGGGAAAATTCATGAAACATCGTAATTTTATAAGGAATTTTTGTAACTAAGAACGTAATAACGATACATCGACGTTATAAAATTAAAGATGTACGCGCAAATAAATAGAATTTTTCTCAAGTTCGTCCATAAATTTGTGTTCGCCGAGGGAAGTCATTGGTGCATCATGGCTGAAGCAGGGGTCAAACACGAAAACTCATCGAGCGGTGTGATAGCGGCAATATTTTTACGCGTTACATCCGCTCGGATACGTGGTTAGCCTTGCATCCTTTGGCTACAAACGGAGGTGCAAGAGGTTAAAAGCAGCGTGCGTATTGCTGTATGCATTTGCATGCTGCTGTGGAGCTGCGCTATTAAAACCAGCGAAAGTAAGTTGAGCATAAAATGTGGGTGATTGGGTCTCTGATCTTCGACAGGCGCCCAGAGAAAAAATCGCGTGAGAAGATCGCGATAGTCGTTTATTCGCGAAACGTACAGCCCAGTCCTAAGATGTCCCATTACTAGCCAGCCACTGATTCGTTTCTTAGCGTTGACGACTATTCTATTTTACAGACTACGTATTATTGTACTTTCCACGTAATAAATGAAACTCTGGAAATATCGAATAACTTCAATAATGTCTTCTTTTTTATCAGAGAGAGGCAAGAGCAAATTTAAGCTTTGGTCGACCGTTATTTGAATTCAAGATTTCAACAATTTTTTATTGTCAGGTATCACAGTATGAAAGAAATTGAAAGTATGTAAATCATTATTTACCGAAGGTAAGACGAAAATAGCTCCGTCATTTGATTAACTTTCACAGCTTGCAATACGTGAGAATATGAATGGTCGCTGCAATTGATGATGAACGTGCATAACTTGGTTTAAAATACGACTGCCGTCCTTCGTTAGAGCCCATTGTCTATTTTGTTTTAAAATGTAATCACCGTTTGCAATAGGACTCGAGGAAATTATTCCAAGTCGAAGTACTAAGCTTCCGAGTAAACTTTAGCCAAGTAAAAGTTTCCAAAAATTATGTTTCGCGTCATTAGGGAGCAACGTTTCAACACTTTTAACCCGGCAACTTTCACTCGATACTCTTTTTCCCCATCACTTTCCCCATACAGCTTCAATTCGTTAACAACTCTCGTAAGCTTCAATATTATTTACCAAAATTCATTTTTTCGACGTGATATATAACGTTTCTCGCTGTGCGATACATAATTCATAATTCATAACATAATCCTAGTTTAATTTCTAATTCTTTGTAATTTTAACATAAGCATAATTCAGCGATCTTCTCTTCTATATTTGCCGCAAAAATGAGCATCTCTGCGTGGACGATGACGAGTCCAGAAAACACAACTTTCCTTTTGCGAATTCGAAGAACCGGTTCCATTTTATTACTCGATATACCATCCGATGTTAACACACGGTTACTGTATCCACCATGTATAAGCTAAAGGATAAATCGATATTCGATTCGATGATTCGTCGTTATCCATGAGACAACCAGCCGAACGAAATCGGTGCCACGGTATTTCGGTCGTCGTCGTCGTCTTCCTTTCTTGGTTTTAATCTTTTGTTTGTGCACTATTTTTTCGTTTACTTGGACCGTAGAAAGTAAAACTATGAGATTTCGGGCGTCCTCGAACACACTCGTCGTCTGACACAGATTCATGATTTCGAACATCGACCGCTTGTCCTCGACTGGTCTTTTTTTCGAAAGAACTGCCATAGCCCACAGCGAATCGACTCGCGTAGAAAGCGGATTTGCCGATCCAAGAATCGTACCAGATTGGGGACTACGTTCTTCGTTTTTAATTTAATCGGCGAAAATGTTTTGGAATGTCGGATTGGAATGTTCACGAGGATCTAAGGCTCGATAAATATGGGTTATCGCAGGATGTTTTTAGATCGATACAATCGATAGAGTTAACCGAATATGAAATATGATAAAATTGAAATAATAAAGGTTTAACAAACATCTTCCGTGGTTAAAAATAAGATATTTTTATTTCGAATCGCTTTGACGTTATAGTTTCTTCGATCGCTTCCATACAGAGAATCTCGCTTAGAAATTCCTAGATATCGGAAATATTCCAAGATATTCAACCTCACTTTCCATATACAGTGCATATTTCTGCATACCAGCCAATCCAAGCAACGCTATCTTCGATAAATTTTAAGCAATGATAGTAATACAAGTCTTCAAACTACTACATATTCCACTTCTCCTGTATTCAATCGCAGTAGTTGCTGAAGAAGAACTCGTATAAGTACGCGTTTCTTATATTCCTCTTATTTCACAGGCATGCCAAGTTTCACAGAAATCGAACACCCGGTGGACGTACCTCGTTAGTAGCCAGCACGATGGCAACAGAATGTTTGTGCAATCGTTCAGAGTAGTCAGTGATAATTACAACTTTTTACTTCAGCCCATTCCAAGCGAAGTACGAGGCGTTGAATGAACGCTGGCAAACGTGTTCCAGGAACGCGACGCGACGTGGTGTCCTTTTTTTAAAGCAACGTAAATGTGTACCAAACAAGCCAGCATTCTCGATCGCTGGGAATTTTCATCAACAGGCCTACATTCCGTCTTAAACGAACCAAATCTAATGCGATCATTCGCCCCGATGAGAATCGTGTCATGATCTAGAAGACACAGGCTGTCCTTGCGTTTAACTTTTAACTTACTGCGACGGTTATCTCGTCGAGATATTTACGGAGGATACGAGGAAAAATATCGAGTATTTCCATGAGACGGTAGTATTAATCGAGAAGGTAAATTCGATAGAAAATGGAGCTAGTTAAAATATTTTTTCCAAATGTTTATAGCTTGACGACTTATCTATTAATAAACAATCTCTAATAAGACCAATCTTATCTGCAAATTATTTCATATACAAAATTCGACTCCATAAAGTTAATAAGTTTCCATCCCTGACCATACGAAAAACATACGAAAAACGATGTACATATATCACGTCCGTATCAGAACACATTTTACTTGATTGCTCGATTTCTTATAAAACTCCTGTCATACAACTGGTACAAATCTTGAACATGAAATCATGTTTTCACTGGTTGCCGTACGAAAGAACAGGGCAAAGATTTAGACACCGAATGGACAGTACACCATTTCTATAGAATAATGTTTATTTGCAAAGTCCATACAAATTTTAAACGAAGAAGAGGTATTGGGCAGGAATGGAGGAACATGGCAGTAGCATGACGGACAGAGCGCTACCATTGACCATTGGAACAAATCGAGATAACTAGCGGCGCGTTTACCGCAATAAAAGTTTGTCTCCTTGTCCTCTACTCGAATTCTCTGATAACGGGATGAATGTTTTTATGTGGAAGAACCGGCTGGTATTTCCTTTCGTTGTGTACGAACACGTCCAAGAGGAGAGCGGGTTGGACCGAAATATCGAATATAAAGTCTAGAGAAAAAGAGGGAAAGTGCAAAAGCGAAAAAGAGAAGAGAGATCAGAGATCTAAGAGTTTTCAGGATAAACGAAACGCGATGGATTTATGTAAACTCACGAACCAGGATGTGGTTGTTTCGCGTTCGCCCTGTCCCGAGAACTCGAAAAACGAACAATGTTTGTTCCAACGTGGGAGAATCGCGGAAATTGTAGATGAGACGTGCTCGGCTTACGAGAATTAACGCGGCTGGTGTGAACTTGTAGGTATGCATGTAAAATATTACGTAGCGGCAAGATCGTTACCTGGCGATTCATTGTTGAGTATGTTGGTGGTGCCGGGTTGTACGAGCTCGTCTTGAGCCTCAACGAAACCGGAAGTCCTCGCCAGGAACAGATCGGAACTGCGAATTATGTAGGTCTTCGAATTAATCGATGATTGAATTTGCGAGAAACATATCGTAGAAGCGTTGAGTAATAGAACGAAAAGAGAAAGATGGAAAAACAATACAAATTCCATGATTTAAAATACGAATAAAGTAAATTCAATCTCGTAAAATAAAAAATGTCAATTTTATCGAGACAGGGATTAGAAATCGTGCATGGCGGTACCACTACACGTGACAATTAAACGCCAGTTATCGGTACACGAATTTACATTATTGCCCGATAACCTGACAACAATTGTCAATCATCGCACAGACGATTCTGAAAGCAGTTCGTTGAAAATCAAACCTAACGGCAGCATATACGCTGAATGGATTCGATGCAAACGCTCGATGGAGAAAGAACATAATGAAAAGAAGAAAGAAAAAGAAGAAAGGGAAAACGGATGAGACAATACGTTCAGCGTGGGAGAATCGTAGGCAACGTACGCGAGGTGTACACAAGAACGACAAAGAGGGAGGATAATCGACATCTGTTCCATAACACACTAGAAACCCTAACCATGGGCTTCCAAAGGACAGGTTCCCATAGGGGCAGGTATATACGAGGTCAGGTGGCCCTTGACTGAAGACCTTTTTCAAGAGCTTCCAGCTTTTTTGCAATTGTGTCGATCGTCGATGGAAATAATTCTATTATTCGGTCAGGCACGTTGCACTCGTGTTTCCATAAAACTTTGGTGACTCATCGTCAGAATTTGCCTCGTAGTTACCGTTTTTACACTTAAACCATTACTGCTACGATAGACTCCCCTCTCTCCCCACCCCCTACCTCTTTCTCTCTCTTGTCTGGTCACGTTTTCGTCGAGATCTTATTCCGATAAGAAATATCAAACGGCAAGATAATGCATCCGCCAGTGATATATGCATTTACAAAGAAAATGGTTGCCTCTGGCATTTAATTCTATCCATTGATCACGATTAGAATTTTTAAT